TGGCTCGTCCTTGAACGAGCCACGAGAACTTCCCTCACCCTCCGTGGTAACATCCGTGACCTTTTCATGTTACCTACTTGCTTCCGATCTGTTACCCATCTCGACCTCTCACTCGTTTCTCCTTGGGGACATCCCCTCCTATCTCCACGCGCCGCCTCTAGCGACGGTGGCGACGATGCTGATTCCATCCTCATCGCACACCTCCTCCGCCACGCGTTTCCTATAGTTACTTCGCTCATTGTCTACGCACGTAGCCCACATACCCTCCAGTTTTTGCCAGTTCAGTGGCCTCACCTTAAGTATATTAAGCTTGTTCGTTGGCACCAGCGGCCTCAATTAGCTAGTGGGGATGAATTCAACTTGCTGTTTCAAGGATGCCCGCAATTGGGTTCGCTTGATTTATCTACTTTTTACTGTTGGACTGATGATATTCCTCCAGCTCTTGAATTGAATCCTCTTGTAGCGGGTAATCTAACAGTGTTCAATCTGATGAATGCTTCGTTTTCGGAAGGTTTTAAGACGGATGAGATTAGAGTAATAACGAAATGTTGTCCTAATTTGAAAGAATTGAAAATTGCTTGTATGTTTGATCCTATGTACATTGGGTTTGTTGGGGATGAAGCTTTGGTTTGTATATCTACCAATTGCCCCAAATTAACAGTGCTTCATTTAGCAGATACGTCTACTTTGTCTAATTGCAGGGCTGATCCAGATGAGGAGGGGTTTACGACAGATGATGCGAAATTTAGTGTTTCAACTTTGATTGAGGTATTTTCGGGTCTTTCCTTACTTGAAGAGCTTGTATTAGATGTTTGTAATAATGTTAGAGATAGTGGTCCTGCTCTGGAAATACTGAACACGAAATGTCCCAAGTTGAGATCTTTGAAGTTGGGGCAATTTCATGGTGTTTCTATGCCAATCGGCTCTAAGTTGGATGGAGTTGCGCTTTGTCAGGGGCTTAAATCGTTGTCGATTAGAAATGTAGGTGATTTGGATGATATGGGGTTGATAGCAATTGGTAGAGGGTGTTCAAGATTAGCCAAGTTTGAGATTCAAAGTTGTAAAAAGATCACGATGAGAGGAATGAGGACGCTAGCTTCTTTGCTCTGGAAAAGTCTGGTTGATGTCAGGATATCTTGCTGCAAGAATCTTGGAGCCTCTTCCTCGTTGAAAGCATTGGAACCAATACAAGAACGTATCCAGAGGCTCCATATTGATTGCGTGTGGGATAGTGTTGAAGAAATTGAAAATATTAATGGTGTTGAATACGGGTTTGATCTCAATAAGACCAATGGAGGTGAGGCATCAACTCATGGTAATGGATTTGGGGACACATTTGGATCCATGGATGATGATATCATGTTTAACAGGAATAAACGATGCAAGTACGATTATGATCTTAATAGTGTTTGCATGGAAGACAATGGCCATGGGAATGGCTTTGGTGGACGGACATGGGACCGGCTGCAATATCTCTCACTTTGGATTGGTGTCGGTGATCTTTTAACTCCTTTAGCAGCTGCAGGTCTTGAACATTGTCCTAACTTGGAGGAGATCAAGATTAGAGTGGAAGGAGATTGCAGGCTATGGTCAAAACCTTCAGAGAGGGCGTTTGGGTTGAGCACCCTTTTGCGGTACCATAAACTTGTGAAGATGCATTTGGATTGTGGAGATATCATAGGTTACGCACACACTGCCCCGTCGGGGCAGATGGATTTGAGCTTGTGGGAACGGTTTTATCTCTTTGGTATTGGAACTTTGAATCTCAAGGAGCTTGATTACTGGCCACCACAAGATAGGGATGTTAATCAAAGGAGTCTATCCCTGCCAGCAGCTGGGCTGCTCCAAGAATGCATCACACTCAGAAAGTTGTTCATCCATGGAACGGCACATGAACATTTCATGATGTTCCTGCTTAGAATCCCAGACCTACGAGATGTACAGCTGAGAGAAGATTACTATCCGGCACCAGAGAATGACATGAGTACAGAAATGAGGTCGGACTCCTTGAGCCGCTTTGAAGCGGCTCTAAACAGACGACAGATTTGTGATTGATGCAAGGAACATATTACATTGTTCAATTTTCCATTATCTAATTTCCCTTGGTTTTATTCCTGATTCATTCAAGGAACAGGTACTGTTATGCAACTTCCCTATGCCCAGTTATCATAGATTATATTCCTGGGATAGTAGTGTTGTCATATTTAATATCCAGATCTTCTGTATAGTTTTCTGCATCAGTTAAATTACGCATTTTGAACAAAAAATATTAACAACTTTGGGTGTAATTCGAGTGAAATGGATGTATGAACTCTACTTTTGATCCACAAAGGATGAACATTTTTATATTATGCTTCTAATACTGTTCATCTCTGAAACGAAAGAGATTTCACCAGTAGAGTGAGTGTTCAGTCTTGCTGTCATGTGAGAACTTCCTCCAAGTAGTGTTCAGGAAAGCGAGCGCTTCATCGCTTAAAGCGATGCGAGCCTTCTACGCTTCACAGACTAGAATGAGTATGTGAGTGCTTCATCGCTTAAAGCGTGAAGCGGGGCCTTATCGCTTTTTTCCGCTTCACGCTTCCCTGAACACTCCAACTGTCTTTCATTCAGCAGTCTGCATACAAAAGATAAACGATGGAACACAGGAGAAAATAAATGAATTTGAGTCTACATAGGCCTCTGGTATCAACATCTACAATTGACTGCAATTGATTTACCAAAGGTCCTTCAGGTACGTCTAATCTTCATATCTCATCGAAAACGGTACGTACAACCTAACTTGTAGTCATCCATTTTGGAGTTCCATTCATATAGCACACATACTATGCTGAGTCAGCGCGAAAGGTGTCAAAATGACACAGTGAAGGTCTCCTACGAGTGTTTAAAATGTACTAGGCTTACTTGAGATGTCTAAGTGAAAAGTCGTGCACACATTAGGTATCTGTCGATACCTTCTGCTTTCTTTTAATTATTTGATCAAAGATCAAGGAGCATCTATGGTTGTTTCAATATTTAAGTGGTTGTACTCTTTTTTTTTTTCCAATGACAAAAAACTTGCATTGTTTTGTATTGTGTTCATATCCTAGTTAGTTTCACCCTCATCCGTGTCCAATAGATCACACAAACACAACTTTATTATTTTATTATTACGAGAATCAATCTTGTAGTGCTTCCAACACTAGTACAAATACTAGATTGGTGAAAATATATAAACAATGTTTTGCTAGACACATTGTATACATTCACATTTGACAAGACCAAAGCAATATCAACAAACAAAAATAATTTCAAAGTGAACAAACTCTCCATTCCCAAAAATTCAATACTCAGGGACTGGAAGGTCTTCTTCTGAAGGTGGTGCCAAAATCCACTCTCCATTTTTATCAATAACCATTCCTTTATTCTTCTCAATCCACCACGACCCTGGAATCAAGTACTCATCTTTCAACAATGAAGATGACTTGTTCACCAAAGCTACACTCCTCTTCACTTTCAACTCAAACTTCTTATCTTCCCCGTTCCATCCTGCCACAACATGTAACATCCCCTGCAAGTTGTGCCAATCTCCCGCGACTTTTGAATCCTTTAAACTCGGAGACTTTCTGCTATCGATGACTAGATCTATACCTGTTGAAGAATCATTCAAAGTTGTAAGAAATCAAATTTATATAGGATTTATTTTATTCATGCTACATAAGATTTATAGTCAAATTTATCTAGAAATATTTTTATAATTCTAATTGAGTATATTCTGCAGTCTGCACCAGTATAAACATATGTACCTTAACCTATTCTCTTATAGCATAAAAATAGTAGAGAATTGTAAGGGCTGATTTCTCAGATGGTCACTCAACTATTATTATCTTAGAAAGTCGTCTTTCTTCTTGATTCAGATTTTTTCAACAAAGAAATTGACTTTCTGATATAATAACTGTTTAGTTGAGTGTCGATATGAGAAATCAACTCAAAATTGTAATGATATTTCCTTCAATACCTGAATTCACATACCCAAATAGAGCACTTGGGTAAAGGGGAATGAGATCAATCTTGTTCTTAACATGTAAGATATTCAAGTTTGGGAATTTCTTGATTCTTTCATTGAATGCCTTGTTCCCAACTTGTGGACTACCAAATACAATTGCAGATACTGGAATATCAGCTGGGACACCATTTTCAACCACATCAAATGATGCTAAAACAGCTAGGCTAGCACCAAGACTATGCCCAGTAAAAGTTATACTCAAATTCTCATCTTTATACTCATTTCTTAACTTTTGAATCTTTGCTTGAAGTTGTTCTCTTGCACTTAGTCTTGTGAAGGGTGATTTCGGGTTACTTGAGACGTAAATCTTAAGCCACCCGTCCATTACTTTGACCTCGTCCTCGTCCTCATCCTCATCCTCACCCTCATCGTTCTTGTTGTTAACGCCTTTTTGGAGAGACTTAGGATGAAGCAGAGGGTCAGCTGAATCAGGACGAGCACCTAAAACATTGATCCATTCATAACTCCTAGCTGTGCCACGAAACACAACGTACACTTCCCTACGTCCTAGTTTACGACTGACTTCATCAGTCGTAATGGCTATATAGCCAATCCAATTAGACTCTCTGTCCCACGATTCGCGAGACAGAGAGTGGAGGAAAATGGCTTCAAGTGCGCCTATTTTAGCAGTAGCATAGAGGAAGCAATAGATTTTATAATCGGTAGAGGATTCTAGCATGACTTTGTTGAAAAATGAACTTTTACCATAACGACTCGTGCCACAATACTTGGAATTTTGGTCATTGTTGAAAGCATCGTAAGTAGCTTGACAAAAGTCACCGCACCGGAGAATTAGACGCCGGAGAGGGAGATTTAGAGGTTGAAGAAGGCCATCCCAATCTTTGCTTCCTAAAAGTTCATGCCATGTTGGTTCTTTTTCCATCTTAGAGGATAGATAGATAGTTTTTTTTTTTTTTCAATTTGAGGGGGAAGTTTATTTGGTGTAGAAGAAGATAATGTAACAAGGATTTAAGAAGAAAGTTGTTCTATTTTCCTCCACATGTTATGAGATAGAATAGTATACTATAACTACACACTAGTTTTGTTGATAAAATAGATGTGAGTTTTGTCAGATGGTGGGGATACTAGACGCAGACAGATTCAAAATTTCAAGTTTATAGATATTTAGTAAATTATTGTGAACGTCGTAATATCTAGTGAGCCATATATGCCATAATGCAAACGGAAACAAATTTCCCATATAATGAGTGTGTGTTGAAGGGGAAAATGGAAAATTTATGTGGATATACATTTCGATTGTCTGCTTACTAAATGTGATACAAGTACATACTATTCATTTGGCTGTATATATTATACATACATTATATGTATATATCTATTACTTAACTATAAGTGACTAAGTGTGGATAACCACACGGTGGCGGTCGACATGCCTGTTTTACCGGTGTGGTTTCACACTTTTACTACTCTTTCCCCGTTTTAATTTGTTTATGTTATTTTTAAACAATTTTATATATTTAAAATACTTAACTATATGCGTGGATAACCACACAAATGATGGTCAACATGCCTGCTTCACCCGTGGTTCCACACTTCTACTATTTTTGTCTACTTTTTCTCTTCGTTTTAATTTGTTTATTTTATTTTTAAAATTATTTTATATATTTAAAAATTATGTAGAAATATTATAAATCATGATAATTGATAACTTGAAATATTTAAAAAACATATAAAAATTCAATTGCTTATAAAAAAATTGATTTATTCATAAAACTAATCTATTTGTGTCACATAAAATGAGACAAAAGAAGTAACATGTATTATTTAGTTTTTCAAATACGTAAATTTTATTTTTTTTAAAATTGTGTCTAAATTTAAACAACCAAATATGATAGAAGAGCCGGAGCATCTTAATTGATGAGAATTTAATTCTCACGTTTATAATTCCCTTTCCCATTTCAAAAGATATCACACAAATAAAATATTCCACTTATTTTAATTTGTTTAATCCATTTTAACTTCACACAAAGTTTAAAAAATATAAAATATTTGAAATTCTGTAATCTTAAATTAAAATTACATAAAAAATACTAAATTTTTTCTTTAATCTTAATTTTAAATTGCCACCAGCAACATGATAAATTAAAATTAAAAAATTACTAAAAGTCATTTATCTAAATACGAACCAAAAAAAATGTTGACATTAAAGGTATAACAATAATCAGACTTCAATACAAATGCCACGATAACAAATAAGCCTTCTACATCAGCTAATTCTTCTTCCATGAGGGATTTCAATGAAACAACATTTTTGAATTTCCCGTTCATCATATCGACCGACCCAGACCCCGCATCAAACCCAAAAACTAATTAATAAGACAAACAAGGTAGCAAATTAGCCTTTAAAATCTACCAAACTTAAAGTGTCGCCAGCTAGCAACACTTTTTTCATCACTTTTCTCTCATCTTATTATATATTTATATATATAAAAAAATATATATATTTATGTATATACTTACACTATAGTGCAACATGTAGTTCATGCAAGCCTATTACTCTAACATTGTAACACGTAGCCTTTTCTCCACTCCTTTAAAACTAACACCAATCCCTCTTACAAAAAAAAATCATCCATCTCTTTTACAACACAAAAATTCTGTTATTCATCATCATTATTTGTATCATCAACTATGGCTGATCGTACTCAATATCCACAACAAGTTCAAGTTCATCCTTCAACTCGTTATGAAGGTGGTATGGCCACACTTCTTCCTTCAAAAGGTCCTTCAACTAGCCAAATTCTAGCTGTTGTTACGCTTGTTCCCGTCGGCGGGATTCTTCTCGGACTTGCCGGGCTTACTCTTCTCGGGACTATTGTTGGGCTTGCTGTTGCTACCCCCGTTTTCCTACTCTTTAGCCCCGTCCTCGTACCCACTGCTATTACCGTTGCACTAGCCGTCACTGGTTTCTTAACTTCAGGTCAATTTATACTCTTTCTGTTTCAATTTATGTGTAGATGAGTTTTTTTTTAGACATGTTTCAATTTGACAAGAGTATAATTCTGTAAGTGAAAATTCTGATTATGTCACTGGGTTCTTAACTTCAGGTCAATTTATACTCTTTTTGTTTCAATTTATGTGTAGATGCGTTTTTTTAGACATGTTTCAATTTGATAAGAGTATAATTCTGAAAGTGAAAATTCTGATTCCGTCACTAGGTTCTGGGTTCTTAACTTCAGGTCAATTTATACTCTTTATGTTTCAATTTATGTGTAGATGCATTTTTTAGACATGTTTCAATTTGACAAAGAGTATAATTTGACAAGAGTATAATTCTGAAAGTGAAAATTCTGATTTCGTCTCTGATATATAGGTGCATTTGGATTAACGGGTTTATCATCACTATCGTGGATTGTGAATTACTTTAAACAAGGGAGGACAACGATGGAGCAGTTGGATTACACGAAAAGGCGAATTCAGGAGCGAGCAGCAGAAGCAGCGGCGCAAGTGGGACAAAAGACTAAGGAGGCTGGGCAAGCAATACAGAGCAAAGCACAAGAAACGAAAGAAAGTGCTAGAACTTAAAATCAGTTTGGGTTTTTATATTTTGAATGAAAATAATGTTGTGTAACATGCACTTCTGCTTTTGTAAGTGTTGTGTGCAGTGTTAGGTTTAATTTCCTTTTGTAATGGTTGTTTTGATCGTCTCTGCTGTTTTGTTATTTGTAATTTAATAATATTCCAAATCTCTTTTTATTGTAATTGCATTTTCTATGCTCACATCGCCCTTTGGCGCACCTTATTTAGCAAGGTCTAAAGTGATAATGTATGCACCATAAATTCAGTGTTGCGATATCCACATAAATTTTAAAAATGACACTGTAGAGTGAAGAACAGCTCTAATCAAGGTAATTCAAGTTAAAAAGAAATATGAAGAATTAATTAATTAGAGGTGTGATTATATTATTAATAAGGTTTTATCAAGCTGAAGTTGTCGAGATTTTTTTTCTTGAATTACATTAGCAATGTCCATGTACATGAAAAATAACGGTAGTTATTTGGTATGTTTTTTTTTTATAGTATAGAATTAAAATTGGAGCTAGAGTTTTTTTTTTTTCATTCGGTGTTTGGGCTTCATAGCACTGCAGTGTTCTTTCGGAGTGATGCTTTCAATATGATTTTCTTCATATTCAGGCCATGCCTGAATCCGTCCAATATGACTTTAATCCGACACCAGCCGTTCTCCATATTCAGGGCATGAATCCGACACCAGCCGTCCCACCACTGGTCCATTCAAGCAGCGGATTTTCTCCATATTCAGGGCATGAATTCGTTCAATATGATTTTCTCCATATTCAGGGCATGAATCCGACCCCAGCCGTCCCACCACTGGTCCATTCGCATGGGTTTACAAACCCATGTTGGTGGAGTTGGAGTTCTGTTTAGCATGCTTTTTGCAAAAAAACAAAACATATTTCGATTTGAATGTACGTTTTTAATATATCGTTTGTACCTCCAATTTATAAAAAATAGCAAAATCACCAACCTGACTTATTTATTGGGATAAGGGTCTGAAAAATATCCCAATTTTGGTCGGATTTGCTGTTGCGATACTAAACTTTCATGAGGACCTATTACCTCCCTAGACTATTTAATACCGTATTTTTTACCCCCTAAACTATTTAATAGTATATTTTAAAGGTATATATGTGCTCACGTGGACACATTACTATTTATAATTTTGTATTATTTTTTATGTCCACGTGGACAAATATATATGTTTAAAATACGGTATTAAATAGTCTAGGGAGGTAATAGGTCCTCATGAAAGTTTAGTATCGCAACAGCAAATTCGACCAAAGTTGGGATATTTTTTAGATCCTTATCCCTTATTTATTTAAAACAGATAATCAAATTTATTTTGAAAAATTAATATCACAAAATAGATGAGTCACATAATATCATAAGATTAGACAAACTTCTTTTCATTTTATTTGAAAATTTTAAAGCTAGAATTGAAGATAAAGTTGTGTTTGGTTATAGGTTTTGCAAACAATATGATGTACTTTTCTTAAAAAATAGGAAATATAATTTAAATGAGGTCATTTCTAAATAAAAAAAAATTAAGTGAAAAAGAAAAATATGATGAAAATGAAAACAAAAATATTGAATGTTTTCTAAATTCCAAAGGCAATTTGAAATTTGCATACTCAAATACTGTTTTTTTTTTCAAATAAAGTAAAATAAATTTTCGGAAATAAATAAATACTCATTTATATTATTATCTTTGGTACCCATAAAAAGAAGAGGAAAAGGTTCATGTAATAAAGCATAGAGTACAATACGAAATGCAATCCAAGTGAGCTTAAACTTAACCCGCATTCCGAAAATACCCCTAGGTTCAGAAATAAGCAAAACAGCGCAGCTCTAATTATAATACACAACACATATATATACAGTTGGATCAAACTAGGGTTTCTCTCACTCTTCTCTTCTTCCTCTCTGTGTGTGTGAACCCTAAACTCCTGCCGCCATGGTATCTCTCTATGCCCTTCCATTTCGATGAATGTTGTTGCTTTTTTGCATATGAGTATTTGAAATCTAATGTACTCTGTTTTTTTTTTTTTTGTGATTAGGCTTCAGAGAAGAAATTGAGCAATCCAATGAGGGATATCAAAGTCCAGAAGCTCGTACTCAACATCTCCGTTGGTGAAAGTGGAGATCGTCTCACTAGAGCCGCAAAGGTGTGAATACCTAATTTGCTGTAAAAGATGAATTAGTATTAGAGTGAAATGAATCTGAATAGAGCTGAATAAGATTTGGATTAGTTTTAGTATTGAAGTGTAGATAGTTAATTGAATGTGTGTTTTATTGTATTTTTAGGTATTGGAGCAACTCAGTGGCCAAAGTCCTGTTTTCTCCAAAGGTATGCTTTTGAATTGCATTCTGCAGTTTGTTTTTATTGTTATTTGATTTTGTATGTTATGACTGGTTTCAGTTTCTTATGCACATTTGATCGAACATGCTTTTCGGTTCTTCGAGCTTTGTTTGTGTCAAAGAATGAATTTTTGCTTATATATGGAGTCTCACTATTAGTGTTTGAGCTGTTTGATTTTGGTGATTTGTTGAAGTTTGGATTTAATTTGTTTCTGTAGGAATATAGATAAAAAAAGAGAGTTTCTAAGTAATGTGGATTTAGTATGAACTTATGAGTGCTCTCAGTTGGTCAAGTTTGTGTAACAATTTGAAATAATTGGAACTTGCTTAACTTGGTGCTACAAGTTATGCATATTGTTCCTCATTTGTGTTTCATTGATATTGGATATTTTGTACTCATGTTTAATGCAATTATCCATGATATGTATGGTTTGGTGTTGTTTGTCTTTTAACTTGCTAAACATTATCTGATTTTGCATTGCTTACTGTTCATGTTTTCATGTGCTTTCTTTATTCCCATTGACAGCAAGGTATACTGTCCGATCCTTTGGAATCAGACGTAATGAAAAGATTGCCTGTTACGTCACTGTCAGAGGAGAAAAAGCTATGCAACTCCTTGAGAGTGGATTGAAGGTCAAGGAGTATGAGTTGTTGAGGAGGAACTTCAGTGAAACTGGATGCTTTGGATTTGGTATTCAGGAGCACATTGATCTTGGAATCAAGTAAGCATGTTATTGAGATCTTGCTTTAATTCGTTATTCAGACTGCTTTTTAATCCTACATATTTAGCTTAGGAGGTGTTGCTAGCTTTTATTATGCCAAAACAATTACTCATGCGCGTTCACATATTTACCGGTTGATCATCTTCTAGAAGTGTAGTTGCTTCTTCCATGAGTTTACAGGGAATAGTTCTTACCTTGAAAAATGTTTACTATATGAGGCTAGGAGGTTATATCAGCTGGTCGGTCATGTTGTGCTCTTATAATTCATTGACATACTATTCCTTCGTGTTAAAGGTATGATCCTTCAACTGGTATCTACGGTATGGATTTCTATGTTGTCCTGGAACGCCCAGGATACCGTGTTGCCAGACGTCGTAGGTGCAAGTCTCGGGTTGGGATCCAACACAGGGTCACAAAGGAGGACTCAATGAAGTGGTTCCAGGTCAAATATGAAGGTGTTATCCTTAACAAGTCCTCAAACATCCAGTAAGCCGAGAGCCGACTGCGGATCAGTTTATCTGATAGCAAGTTTATGTTTATGCATTTTGTAGACCAACATCTAATTACTCCTAGAGTTGAATAGTTTTCAAGAGTTGCTGTTATTTGGCACAGTATGCTTGTTTTCATTTTGGTTTATGAGACCCAATTCAATCTTAATATATCCTTTTTATGTTAGTTTCCTGTTGTGCAATTCTATAAGAAGCAGAACACATCAGTTTTTCTCAAGTCTAACTAATCAAACTAATAAAAATATTCTAGTTGTATTTTTTTCATTTATTTTATGGTATATATTGCTACATTGACTCTACAAAACATACTATATGAGATATTTTCTCTAGTTAAAGTATATATTGGTTACCTACCTCTCTATCTTAGAGATTTGCGTAGTTAATTATCAAATTTGAATTGGTCTGAGAGTGCTTGGACTAGTTGGAATATTGTGATTATCAACTATTAAGAAATTAATTTTCTAGTGCCCTGGTTGTTGAGGCAGCAAATAATTCACTTTTTTATATACTCAAATGGTGATTTAATTTGCTTATGAAGTCACCAAATCTTTTTCTTAGTGGTATTCCTTGTAAGTTGCTCGTTTATCACTTTTACATTTTTGGATTTTTGGGGGTGGGTTTAATTATAATAATATGAGCTTCAAACCAAAATCTTGCAAAGTGCTTGTTGACTATCTATAAAAGTTTCAATATTTGAATAGTAATAAATTTAAGAGTAATGACTTGGATATAATCAGTTAAATTATATTAATGATATAACAAAAAGTTATACTCCATTATCAATGCATATAACTTAAATTTTTAAAGGACAAAAGATAATTTTTCCTTCATTCTTTAAAAAATTGTTGATATGAATAATTCATTTATGTCCTAATATAATACATCAATTTCAACTTTCAAATTCAGAAGCAGGAAGGGCAACCTTTTTTGGATGTTCCATGAGGGAAGATGCAATAATTGTTGAGTGTGTGAATAAAGTATCGCATGAAAAATAAAAAAAACACTTATAACCTCATGTGAGGCCTTTAGGAGAAATCATGTGTGTTGACTTAGGTCAAAACAGATAATACCATACTATGTTTTGAGTATCATTGAGCCACTGGAATTGAACAACTCGTATCGGAGCTAGTGATTGGACAAGACAAGCATGACGATGGTGGAGTGATGATGGCGTAGAGCCCGATAAACTTAGTGCCTTTGGCCGTCTTATGGGCCACTTGCTATTTTCGCCCGTAACTTTAAAGACACATATACAAAAAAGAAGCCAATGATTTTTTAATGGTCATAAATACTCGATTGATATGGTGACACACAATTAATCTTCAAATTAGCCCCTGAACAATGATAGACCATATATAACGTAGTTCAAGAGGGAGATTGTTTAGGTATTTATGAACAAAGTTCCACGTGAGAAATAGAAAAAGCTACTTATAAGGTGCTTGATACTCCCAACAATGTGAAGGCTTTTTTGGGAAACCGTCCTGACTCGATCCAAAACAGATAATATTACATCAGATTAAGAATATTTTTGAATTGTTTTAGCCCAACAACAATGACCATAATCATCAAGATACAAGACATGAGTAACACCCAGGGGTAACACCTAGTGACCAATGAAGTAGGCTAAAAATCATGAAACAAAAATACTAACTGATTTCTTTCCACTCATCCTAGCCTTGGTGGCGGAATTACCTAATACCTATTGCTGATGAGAGATTAACTATGTATCGTAAAATTAGTCAAGATGCACGAAAGATAACCATATACATACAAGACTTGAGTAGTCTATAGAATCTTTGGACAAGAAAATTTGATGAAAGAATCAAGCTATATTTACATTTGCAACAAGCCAAATTAGGCCACAAAATGTGAAGCAAACTACAAACAAACAAAAATAAGCAAATGATGAAATCATAGAAAGAAGCACAAACAATGTTATGTTTTTTTTTTCATTTGAAAGTTGATGCAACAGTTTGAGCCCAAAATCTAAGATTATGTTTCATATTCATATCATTATTCATAGCTGGAAATCTCCATTTCAACAATTTTTTACTCATTTTTCTTTTTTCAAGAATCTCCCATGCTTCAGAAAGATAAGGCCTTTTATGAACAATATCCTTCTTTTTATTTTCAACTTTTTCATCAACAATTCCCCATTTCTCCAATCCAGGAACAATCGTAACCAAACTTGAATTCTTATCTTCTTCACTAAACTCAAATCCCAAATCCATAAACCCCTTTAATTCCTCAAGTTCAAGCTCCGATGAGCTTCTCCGAATTCGAATAATTCCCTTAACTCCTTTTCTAGCATTTATTTTTACTTCTTGTGCAACTCTGTTATGTGTGATAATAACAGAAGTTGGAGAGTTCCCAAGTTGACTACTAAAACTCGGACTTGTATCTGATCCTTCAAAAATGTTCTGCTTTTGAATGATCTGACACGCATCTGACGATATTTTTGAAGAGTAATCACTTTGTGATCGACCTAAGAGATTTGATGATTCTTGAATTTCATGAGGATTTTCTTGAAATAGTTTCTTGAATTTATGTGTGTTGGTAAATAATATTTCTTGTTCAAACCAATAAGTATCAAAGAGCTTGAGGAGTAGTACTTCTTCAGCAGCCATATATTAATTGTGCATTAGAAAACAGAATTTTTGTTTTTTTTTTCCTAAGCAAATCTTGGCAGTTATATGGTATGGTATATATATAAGTATATTTTTATTGAATATTGAGGATGTTATTGGAATATGATCAAATATTATTCGAATCTTATTATAAAAAATAGGTCCACATTTCTCCTCTAGAAGACTCTAATATTTTTTTTATGTGCTAAGCACCATTGGCTCTTCCAATTATTGTTGTGTTAGTTGGAAAATCAAGTCAACTCCAATGGCCTAACATTTCTCTTTCAAGTGTTACGGATAAAAAACACACTCAAACTATCACTTTTTTTTATGAGTTTCATACTTTAACTATCTATTGTTTCTTTACCTACTTGAACTTTCACTTCCTTTGTATCAAAAATTTAAAACATACCTCGATGCTGAATATGCGCGTATAAGTCAACTCATCATTTTATTGGTGCCTCAATATGGTGTTGAATGATAGATTATGCCGTCTGATTGGGCTAATATGCATTTTCTTATACAAAATTATGTGAATCATTAATATTTTGGTGCTTACAACTACGTATAAGATTTGTAGTTTAGTCTTGAAAAGAAGCTAGCATAATGTAGCATATTCCAAATTGAAGGCATAAAACTTGCACATGATGAACATTCACCTCTCTAAAACATTAATTTTAGCAATGACGGTCAAAAATATATTTGAACTATTATTTTTCATGAGTTTCACATTTTAATTATCAGTTTTTTTTAAATTTGAATTATCATCATCTATGTATTGAACATAACACTTAATTGAGTAGATAATGATAACTTAGGTAGAAAAAAGAAACAACTATTAGTTAGCCTAATAAACTTTGTGGTGTGTTTGACATAGATGATAATAGTTAATGTAGAAAAAGAAAATAATTAATAGTTATAATGTGAAACTAGCGAACAATGATAAGTTTTTAAATTTATTAGATCTTTTTTCAATGAGAGACTTAACTCACACTAAGATGAGTTTCGAGTTTTTTCCCTATTAAAACAATACCCTTACTTCTTCATTTTCTAATTTTGTAATTCTAAGGTTATATATTTTATAAGAATTTGACTAGTTGTAAAATTTAGTACATGTTTGAATAATCGATTGACATTTGAAAATAATAATAATTAGTGTTGAAGTTACGTAGAAATAGGGTATTTTGAAAAGTGAAGTTGTATTTTGAATGAAAGCACAATTAAAAACTCTCGAAAATTTCTAATAAAATGATAGATTAGTTTGATAAACAAACACTTAGCTTTCACTAAATACTTTATTTAAATATTATAGCAACTTTGAATATAATAACATTAATTCAATTATTGTAAAATCTTTTTAAGCAGTAAAAATAATTATTATAACTAAATATCTCTTTTATTGTAGCGAGTACGTATGGACAAACAGGGTCTTAAAAGGTAAATCTTCTTTGCCTTAGTTATTGATAAGTACCAGCTTTTGTTAATTTGGTTGGTAGTGACACGATATAATCATTTTTAAAGATGAGATAATAGAGGTGAATACAATGGATTTGACAAATAAGTAGGACATACATCTTTGGATATTTATGTGATTTTATCATCACTTGATGTGGATGTCATTAGGAAATTAATGTGTAATTTCCTAGCAAATTCATGTACTTTTCCATCTTAATGTCAAATCAATCTTCTTTAATCACTTTAAAAAATGATAGGCGGAGAGGCAAAGGTAGAAGCTCAGATACAATTTCGATCGAATAAATTTATCAATATGTATATATATTAAATGTAAAATACAATTATTAATTCTTAAACTTATCGTTTTAAAATTCAAAATTTTGATTTCGCTTTTAGTGGCAGAGTCAAAATTTTAACTAGCTAAAGTGATTCAAAATATATTAAAAAAACAAATCAACACACAATTTTTTAAAACATTTATACTGTATATACATAACAAGTAATTTTTCTATGAAAGAAATTCGAATGAACCTCTTGTGCTCCTAGCTTTGCTCTAATTAAATGTGATTATTCCACACACGTACTTTAGATTAACAAATTCAATGGTTTGGGCAGTGTATATATACATACTTTTTTTTCCGGTTTTAGTTCGATATTCGATATCTGTATTAAAATCAGACTAAATTCGAATTGCACAAGGCTCAATTGGTAGACCGTTTCAAAAGCGGATTTTCAGCTCCTGCACGAATTAGGGACCTCCATAAGAGTGTTGTAATCATCTCAAATCGTGTATAAATAGTATAATTTTCTGTCAAAGGAGATTCATCTGGTTCAGATGAACTCCTAGCCCCAAGCTGGATCCACCCCTTTATATAACCATAAAAAAGAAACATAATAATTTTATTAGGTATTAAAAATTTATAAAAATACAAATAAAACAATTAAAAGTTAGTTAGACATTTGATGGATTGAGTTAGTCTAGTCCATTTCAGCTCAAGTAACTTTTAAACAAGTTATTTATCAACTCAACTCATAAAACCTTGTCAAATTCAGTCCAATCCACTCATTTAACACCCCTACTTGTACGTTTGCCTTCGTCAACAGGAGATATTAGAAGGGTGTGCACAACTAAAATCTAGAGCTATGCCACCACCTCCCCAAATTCTAGTAAGATTCGTAATATTTTAAACTAGCGTGTATCCAAGGAATTTACTCCTAAACTAGTGGGATATGGTAAGTTTCCCTTTAATATTTCTATTACTATGCAAAACATTCTTCTCAATAATATGATTTTCTTTAGATGTCCAACATTCAATTCCATGAAATAATATAGCATTGTTCTCATCATAATTGCTTTACAAAACTCAGTTTTTCATGTTTTAGATACAATATCACAAAACACTTCTTTTAGTTTACAAGTAAAACTTGAGGAAATTGAAAGGAGTCGAATCCATTCATTCACGTGAAACCATAACAACTTGCTTTCCAACATTGCGACCATAGAACAGACCAACTAGAGCCTTGGGAGCGTTTTCGAGACCTTCAGCTATGTCTTCCACATACACCATGTTACCGCCTTTTATTTGTGGAATGATCATTTCTATATACTTGGGGTAGAGATGAAAGTGATCTGAAACAATAAATCCTTTCATACAGATTCGTTTCGCGATGAGGCAGAGCAAGTTGTGCACCCCTTCAGTCTTCTTAAGGTTGTATTGTGAAATCATCCCACACATAGCAATACGACCATGAAGTTTCATATTCAGAAGAACTGCATCAAACATCTTCCCTCCAACATTATCAAAGTAAATGTCAATTCCATCAGAAAAGTACCTATAATAGGAATAAACCGATACAAAAAAAGGTCATATTTGTTAGTTATATCGTAGGTCTTAAATTCAACAGACATATCTGTTCATGAAAGAACATGACTATTATATACACATGCAATATCTCTTTAAGGAAAATGACTCCTCACGCCTCAAAGTCAGCTTCTTTTACCTCTTTACTATTGAAAAAGGTTTAATAATGCTCTCTGTTATACTATCAGTACATTAGTGGTGGAGCCAAGATTTTCATTAAAGAATATGAATAAGTAAAAACAAGATTTTCATTAAGAGGGTCTCGTAACTAATTCATGTATTAGTAATACATCCATAACTCTAGCCAGCTACCAAACGACCACTTAATGTTATAGTACTATCGGTCCATATATGTCCTTAACGTTATAAAAATGATTCAAATTCGTCCTTAGTGCCATATTAGTTAGTGTTTTCTAATGGGAAGTTATAAAACTACTAACCTCTTCAAAGCTGCATCTAAATCCTGCTCCTCTTTGTAGTTAAAAGCTTCATCAAAACCAAACTTGCTCTTCAACATATCAACCTTTTGTTTGGTTCCAGCACTACCAATAACATAACAACCTAACATCTTTGCAAATTGTCCAACAAGTTGACCAACTGCTCCAGAAGCAGCTGAAACAAACACAGTTTCTCCCTTCTTCGGAGAACAAACCTCATAAAAACCAACATAAGCTGTTATCCCAGGCATCCCTACAAAACAATAATTGCGTAAGCAGATCATCAATCCATTCCCCAACAAGCCAATGTGGACTCTAACACGGTAATATAATTAACACCCCCTTACATCTAGGTCCAACTGGAGCGTGGATTGAGATGAACGTAACGTAGTTCAAATACCATGTAAAGTGGTACTCTATTTGATAGAAAACAACATCAAGAAGCTAAGATAAAAAAGGATTATAAAACTCACCAAGGATTCCTGTATAATAGGAAAGAGGCACATTCTTGTCATGAATTTTAAATAGATAACTCTGAGTAGGAGTTACAATACTATATTCTTCCCATCCAATCATTCCCCAAACTAAATCACCTTCTTGAAAATTTGAATCACCAGACTTCAAAACTTTAGCCACTCCACATCCTGTGATAGGCTAGATATATAACACAAAAGAAAACTACTTATCATACACGTAACACAAGGGCGACTCAATAAAATAGGTGAAACACTTACGTAACCAGGAGTGAAGGATTCAACATAGCTATCTTCAAGATTTTTCATGCGGGAACGCATGTAAGGGTCACAAGACAAGTAAAGATTCATCAAAACAACAACATTAGAACCTTCTTGAACATTCAATTTAATGTTGTTATTCTTAAATTCCATATCAGATTCCTTAGGATAACCTTCCACATAATGTTTTAGAATGATCTGTTTGTTGTTCATCATTTCTTCTACCATTTCTAACTTTATTAATGTGAATGAAGAGCTGTTATAAAAGTGTATATTATATAGATATATGAAACATTAATACACTATATTGTAAGTTATTAATTAAAAAAAGAACAATTGGACGATAGATACTATGTGGAAAAAAAGTAGGAAGACGGATTTTTTTTCATCTATATCAAATAATTTGGGACATAGGGAATAATACTATATATTATGTACAAATCAGATAAAATGTACTATAAATCACAATAAATGACAGTTTAAATATCAAATTATAATATAGAGATTTCATTTGTATTACATAAATTAGGACAATTGGAGTAATATATAATTTGAAAAATACGTAAGAAAAGAAGTACTTACTATATACCACAACAATTAACAACTTAAAATATCTAAAAAAAATTAGTTGATCTCGAAATTCATTCTGTGCTACATAAATTAAAACAAAACATATCCTAAATTATGAAAAAATTACGTAAAACACACTATAACTCATAATATAGTTAACAAATTATATAAAATATATAAAAAATTAATTGACTCCAAATTTCATCAGTATCATATATATAAATTGAACATGTATTGAACTCATACTAACACAAACTCTATATTTAGTATATATAGATTCGATATCACCTATGAAATTGCTAAAATGTTATATTCCTAGATACCAACCGGTATAATTATTAAATTAAAATATTGCTAGCTATCACTGTACTTTCCGTCAATATTAAATAATTCCAAAATCACAACTTCAAAATTCAACCTCTATTGAAGGATCAATAAGTTTGGAAAAGTGGTGGGAGGTGATGGCTTGAGAAATGGAAAAGAACAAGAGAAAAATAAAATAAAAATGGCTTAATGTAAGCCTCCGCGTCGTTGAGGAGTGTATCACACTCGCTTTGTCATGTCAACAGAAAGTATCAAAATGACAAATTGAAACTTGAACAAAGTATAATTTTGATGTTTAAGTGAAAGTTGATGCCAACTTTAGGTGATGACCGATGGGTTCAACCATTCATATAACATTGGTCTCATCATAATTGCTTTACAAACCTCAGGTTTTCATGATTCAGATACAATATCGCAAAATATTCATGTATCTCAATCATTATTTTTTAACCATAACACGTCTCTTACCGCAAGTAAGAACTTGCTAAGGAAATTGAAATGAGTCGAATCCATTCATTCACGTGAAACCATAACAACTTGCTTTCCAACATTGCGACCATAGAACAGACCAACTAGAGCCTTGGGAGCGTTTTCGAGACCTTCAGCTATGTCTTCCACATACACAACGTTACCGCCTTTTATTTGTGGAATGATCATTTCCAAATACTTGGGGTAGAGATGATAGTGGTCAGAAACAAGAAATCCTTCCATCCGGATTCGTTTTGTGATGAGGCAGAACAAGTTGTGCACTCCTTCCGTCTTCTCAAGGTTGTACTGTGAGATCATCCCACACACAGCAATACGACCACGAAGTTTCATATTCACAAGAACTGCATCAAGCATCTTCCCTCCGACATTCTCAAAGTATATGTCAATTCCGTTAGGAAAGTACCTAATAGAAATACAAATTGTTGTTCATCTTGTATTCCTAAGATACTTAGAACAAAACTTTGAAGAACTTGGTAAGACACAATAAAGTTTAAGAACATTTTCACAACTAGAAAATTAAAACTAGTAGAGAAACTAGAATCAGAAACAGATTAGAAAAAATATACGAAATATTTTTTCTTAAAGAAGAATTGTTGTCAATCTGTGTTTAAAGAATCTTACTGATTCCAATAAACTTTGCAGAAACACGAAGTTACCAAAGTTTAATGAACCAGTGAAGAACAGAAGAACATAAATTAATTCACAAATCTAAAATCTGTAACACATACCAGAATTTGGAAAAACAGAAAGAAGATCAAGCCCACTGAATGCACAGTGTCCCCTTAAGGAAATTATTCCCCTCTAGTATCCGAGGTTTGATTTGGAATATGTCCTCCCAGGATAGAATGATCTCAATCACCAGTGTATTGATACCCAAAACGCTGGTGTCAGCGAGCCACTCAACGGCAGTAAAGTACACTTAGAAT